GAGGGTTTTTTAAAAAAAAGGATTAAGCGTCCTGAACCTTCAGGGGGCCAGGGCAAAACAAAAAAAAAAAAAAAAAAAAAAAAAAAAAAACCCAACAAAAAAATACCAAAAAAAAAGAAAAAAAACGAAAAAGCCTACAGTTCCCTTGGATCGCACCTCCCCCCCCACACCCAGAGCTGTGGTGCAGGTGCACGTGATTCGGGAGCAGAGCGCTGCCTCTGCTTGTTCAAAATTCATCTACAGCCCTGAGAAAGCCAGACAGAAATACAGGCGTGGGACACAGGGACGGGGGACGGGCGGGGGGGTTTCAAGAAGCGCACACGAAAAAAGGGGGGGGGATTCGATTCCCATGGTGACTGTGGTTTGAAGGACTGCGCTCGTTGGAGTGGCGAGCTGTGGGAGGGTTAGTCTTCGTCGTCGTTTTCCTCGTACTCGTCCTCCTCGTCGTCGTCCCCCATGTAAGAGACGGGGGTCTCAACACGAGACCCGCTGTAGTGAGAGTCGTTTGAGCTGGACGCCATGGTGCCGTCAGTGCAGCCGTCACTACGACGTAAAAGCGGAAATTAAGGTCAAAATTGAGATAAACCTGAATAAACTGAGGGAGGGGGGACCCATAAGGTAATAAGATCTGCTTCCTACCTTGCAGTGTAACGACCTCCATTGGCAGAAGAGCCTCCAGTGATGTAGACGTTGCTGATGGGGCCTTTTGCCATCTCTTCAAGAAAATTATTTGGACAAACACGGTGAACACATGACGCCTGCTGAACTATTTACTCGCTAAAAACAACTGCCAAATAGATTTACATAACCTGACATGAATGAAAACATATCCTAATGTAGTCAAACCGTTTCTCCATTTCATTTTCATCTGAACCGCCATTTCTTTCAGACACCGGCACAAGTCTGAAAGCATTTACCTATAACGTAAGGCTCCAGGGCTTTTGGCACCAGGCTTCGTGCAATTTTCAGGTTTTCAGGAGAACACTTCCCCACCTCCAAGCCACAGGCCATGCCCATGCGCTTTAGCACCTCAATGTCGTCGTGGATCTCAAACATGCTGTCGAAGTTGAACAGATACTCGAACCTGGAGACAAGGAGCAGAACGGGAGACGCGGTAAAACGTCAGGATTCCCACTTTGGCGTGGATGGGAAAAGACCGCTCTGGAGACAGAGTGAAACGGAAGCCGTTTCAGCAGCAAACATTTCAAAATCCAGCATTCGCTATCGCAGATTGCTCCTTTCCACTTCTACAACAACTTGGTGCAGAACAACCTAAACTGCAAAAGTGGACAGCAACAAAATCCGCACCGTCTGGTCTAAGCTTTACAACATCTGAGAGATCAACCAAATCTCTCAGCAGTGCATGAGCTACATGATCTATGATTGCATCATAGATCATGTTCCTGGCTTCTACTGAGCCAGGAAAATACAAACTAAAACAGAGAACGAAAGATGAATATTACCTGAATATTAAACACAATTTGCTTAAAAATACTTTGTATTTACTTTCAAACTAATTGCACAAAAAATGTTTCAAAGGAACTTGAAAATGGTCAATGGTGCATCATCTTTCTGAACAAACCTTTCATCTGAACTCGTTTGGTCGTTCCTCTGCTGAAGTGAGAACTGCATGTTTCCTGCAGAACTTCTTGCAAGGCTTTAAATTGTATAACAGTCAAATTTTTCACAGCAAATGACTCATGCTGCTGTCTCAATGCATATTTGTAATTCAGCACGGAGGCAGGAAGTTGACTTTATGAGACCGAGAAAACATTTCACCAAAGCCGAGTCGATTGTGAAGCTTGAAGAATAAAACTTTCATATTTTTGGTGTGAGAAAATATGGACCCATCACAATGTTAATGCCTTGGAGAGGATTCTGTAGCATTCGAGTGCGTAATGAGGCAATTCAGCCATTTAATTTCCTGGTGTGGACTTCGCAGGAGTTCAAAAGTTGCTAGAATGACGTCAGTGTGAAAGTTTCTCTTCTACCAGAGTTGAGCTTAAGTCATGAAAGAGCTGGTGATCACGTACTTGTCGTTGGAGATGCTGCAGTCGATGACGGTCTTCTTGCTGGTGTTGACGATGATAAATGGAAGGTGGATGATGGAGTTTGGAGGTGGGGGTCTATTTGCTTGCTGCTCTGTCTCTTTATTCCTCTTAACGAGGTTCTTGAAGGCTATTTGCTGTCGAGACACAAAACACGAACTGTGAAGTAGCTACCAGATGCTTTCCTGTCTGGGGTGAGGCAAATACTTATGATTTCCATTTTATCGTTCAGTCCTGAACGATCCACGCTCCATTCACCTGCAGTATGAGCTCCTGCAGCTGTGATTGTTTCTGCTTAATCCTCTCCAGCCGCCTTTGTCTCTCCACCTGAAGAGCAAATCAAACAACAGCAGCAGCAGCTGAGACGAGGAGCTGTTGTAAAACGTTTGGAGACGGCGAGGTGGAAAAAGGTTTCCTCCTCTGTACCTCCAGGTTTTGGCACTCCTGTGCGGAGTTGGTGGGCAAGCCAATCCACTTGATTTCCTTCTTCTCTTTGGAGATGATGTTCATGGCCATGAGCACGTTGAGGGCGTCGTAAACACGCCGCCGTATGTTCTTCTGGTCATAAACGTGCTGGGGGAAAAAAAAAAAAGAAGAAGAAAAAAAAAAAAGATAAGAAAATTGCTTAATTACCACAAAATACCGATTTTGAATCAATTTTGCCACCGCCTCGCTTTGGAGACAACTCCAAAACTCACCGAGTCGTTAGGCGACATGTGGTTGTCTGCAGAGCTGAATTCTGCCACCAGTTCGTCTGCCACTTCGTTGTAGGTGGTGACTCCTTTCTTCTGCACCTTCTCGCACACTTTCATGGAGAAATGTCTCAGGCCCTTTCCATTCTTCTCCCCTTTTTTACCCCGCTTTCTGTGGACAGAGCCCCCCCGGCCCCGTCACTACACGTCTAAACATGGCGACGCAATATGAACTTCTTCACTTGGAAAGACAAAAACCACTCGCACACCTTGAAGTTTTTCACGTTTCACAAACATTATGGGGGAAGACCCATAAAGGTTGAATAAGTGAGAAATAGAAACAAAATAATATACCTTTTTTTTTTTATGCATAGTAAATAGAGTCCACCTGATTTAATCTCAGTATAAATTCAGCTCTTCTGTTAAGAACATTACAGTACAAACAGCATCATGAAGACCAAAAAATAATTATGACAGGAAGGTCAAGGAGAAAGCTGTTAGGGAAGAAAAAGCTCTAAACATTTAACGTAGCTCTGTTCAATCCAAAACTTTTACTAATTTGCCACAACTGCAAACATATCAAGACGTGACAGAATGAGACCATTAATTTAAAAAATATATATATAAGAATAAGAAACCCTGTTTAAAATTTGCTTAAAGATCATTCAGGGGAAAACGAACTCGAGCACATTACCTCCACAGTGAAAAAGTGTCTGCAAAATAACTAGAACTAGGAGAATGACATCAAACAGCCGGAGCTACAGTGAAATTTTTTAGATCAAATTTATGCTTCCAGATCCAAGTCGAATTAAGAATCCATGGAAACGCCTGAAAATGGCTACTTGGAGAGGTTCTGCGTCCAATCCAAAAAAGCGTCTAAGTATGTGAGCTTGTTACAGATGTGCAGCCGTTACTCCACCAAATGGGTTTCGACGTACATTCAACTCAAAGGGACTCAATAAAAACAAAAAATCTTTTACATTTTATTTGAGATGCGTTTTTAAACTATTGGTCCTTTTCCTCCCGCTTCATGATTATGCAATTTTTTGCGTTGGTTAATGCCGTTTAATCTCAATAAAATACCCTCAGGTTTTGCTTGCATGTAATGTAACAAAACGCCATAAAAACGCAGGGAGTACATATTCTTTTGCAATGTGCTTTATGTTGAATTTAAGCTTCACAAAGCTCAGCAACAACTCACCCTGACGACCAGGGCGAGGCATCAGCGGGCTGGGTCTGAGTTAGGAACTGGGAGCTGGGCGTGTGCGGACTGTTTACCAGAATCGTGTTCGATACCGTCGGCCTCTGCGGTGTTCCAATCACCTGCAAGGGAGAGGGCGGAAGAAGCGGTGAGAACAATCAGACTGACCGGCGGCCGTATGGGGCAGCAAACGGACAATTAAATCTTCTTTAACTGATACTCTTTAGAAGAAAAAAAAAGCGCGTATTTAACAGGGTTTAGATTACATTAAAACAGTGAAGTAATATTTTCTGGATCAGTCCGACAGCAGCTAAAGGTTTTAATTAGGAATGAGCTTTTTTAAACAGCCAATGTCTACGGCATTCAAAAAGTTAAAATGACTGAATGCAACTCAAGTTCAGGTTACTTTATGGGCCGAAGTTTTATTTTTTGTTTGTTTAAATCATTTTTACTCATTTGCTTGTTTTTGTTGTTGCAAAACAATTTCCCACATGGGCTTAATAAATTATCTGTCTACTTTAACATCTAGCAAATTTCTATAAATTCTTCTTTTTATTAATAGAGCAGCTGAAAAAGAATGGAAGACGTCGCTGGAAGACAAAAACTTAATAACCACAGAGAAACAAAGCTTTTTATGACCTTATATTACAGATGAGGTCGGTAACATTTCAGATTTCATAGTCTACATCATTGTGAATTCTACCTTTGACTATGATGGTGCAGGTGACTGAATTCAAGGGGAAGTTCACGTCAGGCTGTAGAGAAGCTACGGCTGCTCAGACCGAAGGTTTGAATCGATCTGATAAACTCGGCCCCGAGTTTCCTTTACACATCGAAGCATCAGACCATCCAACTCCTGCTTTTCTGGAAAACGTTTCTGGACTTTTGGTGAGCGTGTGCGTTCCCCACCAACATCAACATGAGCAGGCCTCCAGGGGATAGGTGATCTATTCCTTCGCTAAGGTGATATGTAAGCTGATTTCCGTTGTGTATACATTGCTTCAACATAATGAGATGATGGGTGTAATCCTGCTGACTGTAGGGTTGATGAGCTTAGGATCAACTGCCTGCACCTACCCCTCCGCCCGGTCACCTCGCAATGATAATAGGTGAGGGGGGGGGGTTATGTTACAAAAGATGAAGCAAAGCTATGTTTTTTTTTTTTAAGATTTGGAGAAATTTTGCAGTAATTTGTTCATTGTGGTGCCCTTACAGAGATTTATACCCACGCACTCACCATGTGTGGCACATGCTGCATGTGTGCAGCAACGTTCACATTAGACGGCCCGAGGGTTTTGGGTAGAAGCTGTTTGGGGGCAGCTGTAGGCTGGACAGTAACCAAGGACAGAACACCTGAGAGGAGACAAAGGGAGAGCAGCGATGAGGATGACTCGCGAATGAATCTCCATTGCCCCCTGTTGTTCACTTTCAAACAACAAGGAACGCACCTGGACGGAAACGTGTGCATGCTTCGGGGCTGGATTCGAGAAAATGATTCAAAAATATGCAGACTTTCATTCAAATACTGAAGAAGAAACAAATATTAAGGTATACCTTTGCTAGGGCTCAGATTCTGATCGATGAAAACTTTCAGCTCTGCATTTGTTTCAATCAGACCAGCCTGTAAAAAAAAAATTAAAAAAAATTACACTTTTAATCCATCAACAGATAACTCATATTCCCTTTAAGTGAGCCTCATTATTCACTTTAGCCACAAACCCATTTCTCTGTAATGATTTGCTGATTTTGATATGGACAAATACTGAAGGCAAAATGAATGCAAGTCTTAATGTCTACAATTGAAATGTACATAAAGTGTAAAAGTTTTCCTTTTGTCTCATTCTCAAGAGTAAATCAAACTAATTTTTCCCTTTTTAGGTCACTTAGGATGAACTAGATTATTTTCTCGTATGTTCTTTGAATTAAAAAAAATTGAATTCCTCAGTGTTTGATGGAGTAGAACCGCCATTAACCTGTATGACTTGGATGAAACGTTTTGGGTTTCCTTCTACAGGCTTCTTACTGTAGTTTGCTGGGATTTTAATCCATTCCTTTGAACAGAACTGGTGTTACTGGGTCGAGATTTACGGGATTGAGATTAGGGCTTTGTGAAGGTGATTGTTGTCCTGAAGACACAAACCAATTTCTCTCAACGCTTAGAGTCCAAGTCCATTTTCAAGTCCCATTTGTCCCAAACTTCAGCTTCCTGACTTTGACCTATTGTGTAAAGCGCACCAGTCCCTCCTGCAGCAAAACATCCACATGGCGTTGAATGACACCTTCTTACCAGCTTCAGACAAAATTTTCTTCCCTAGTTTTTGCTCTCGGGTTAATTAGATAATTTCAAACAAAAACATTTACATTTTTTGATACAGATCCCATCTCCTTTCTGAAAGGTCTGAAAGACATACTCATAATTTGAACAGATGAATGTTGAAACTTCAGACATGTGGAAGTTGTACCCAAGGATGAAGCAAACTTGTGGAGGTTCACAATGCTCAATGATTTATTTTGATGTTTTCATGATGTCACACAAGTAAGGTTTCATACTCAACTTTTTCCAAGGTAGAAAAGGTGGTTTCATCACACTAGTAAATAATATCGCCAAGTCATTTTGGTTTGGTTTGGAGTCACAATCTGAATATTTAATAGAAATGATCCTGCCTCAACAGGCATCAGAATCAAAATAAATGAAAAAAGCTGTAATTCAAACTTTTCAAAGAATAAAACAAGCCAGACTTAAATTAAGTCAAATAATCAGGCAAAGTTATATTACCAGTTCATTATAAGAAAGAAAATGATCTTCAAAGGTTTAAATACATGGGTATTAAATGGTTTGTTTGCAGAGCCAGAAATAAAAACTTCTGAAAGTTGCTTGGTAAATGAAGTAGTTTAAATTCTAGCAGAAAATGAATACAATATGAATAATCAGTAAAATCACATCAAAATATGACCAACATAACACCGGACCATGTCATCTGCATTGGTGGCCTCAGCCTGATATCCAGTCCAAGAACTAAATCAGACTCAGGTCTGGTGCCGACATAGGGTCAGATTAGCCCCAACTCAAAACTGATGTAAATGCATAACTCTGTTCTCAAGAAACAGAATTTAAACTAATATATATATATATATATATATATATATATATAGATATATATATAGATATATAGATATATATATCTTTAAATGGCGTACACATATACTTACATCTTTAGCCATGATCCCAAAGGACCAAAAGGAGTTCTGCGTCAGGATAAAAAGAAAATGCTTTATATCACTCAATCTTCAGATACCTGCAAAATGAAAAGAATAAATTATTACAATGACTGGAACATTTCTAGTTTTACTCAATAATAATATATTTCAATAATTAAGCCCAGGTCAGATGTAGATTCGCATGTTTTCAAAGGATCATTTGAACTTATTTGTGAACTAAGGCCCAGTTCAATTTGCTGACTGGGAAGCACACTATAGAAAGCTAACTACATCTCTATGGTTAGCTCCAATTTCTCTTTCATATTGGCAAACATACGCAAGATGTGATCAATCTTCTTTACTTTTAACCCCGAGAGCCTTTGAGAGACACATCTGAATACATTGTCCATGTGGAAAAGCACATTAGACCATCCCTAGATGCTCTGAACTTTTACTACGCTAAGAGTGCACAAGGCCTACTTCAGGTACCGAGCACGTCCGGAGGAGAGGCATCGTCCAACTTCTGCTACAGGTCACGAAAGCACGCTAACTTTATCACAACACCGCAAAACTACCGATGTGGCTTCACCGACAGGCCACAGCCACAGACAGCGGGGCTTCACGCCACAGCAGCAGCCTTCACATCATATGTTGACAGCAATGTAGAAATCTTTTGTTGACTGCAGCTAGCTAACCGTCGGCTGCTAACAGCGAGCTTCAGGTTCAGCTCGCTGCTGCTAGCCTTGCTACTAGTTAGCTCCTGCACGCTTTGAGCCGATTCACAACAAATTCAGAGAACCCCGCTCCCCTGCTGCACAATACAGCCTCGTCCGAACAAGAGCTGCCACTGTGAAAAATAAATGGACATTCACCACGTTAAATAGAGTTAAAGTGGTGAATCTGTGCACTTACGAGTGCACTCTCTTGTCTCTTCGACGGCTGTTGTTGTTGGCATTTGAGAATGGAGGAAGAGGAGGTCTAAATCCCATCTAAACAGGAAACAAACTAGGCAATGTCGATATACTTAATCCGTTTTATAAATAAATCGAAGAGATATATATTTCACAGATAATACAGTATTTACCCAGAGGGTTTATTTTACATTATACGCTTTTTTAGGGGGGCGCTAATTCAGTAAGGGATGCCAGGATTTGCCTGTTGGTCAAGTATGGCAGCTGGTAGTTTTCAATCGGTGCTGACTAACTACCGAAGATTCTGCTTTTATTCATAAGTAACAAAAATAATGAGCGACTAACCCAGACTTTTGAACTCTTTTCCCTCTGGACTGCTGCTATATTAAAAAATGAGTAAGCCATCCTAGTTCATCAAGAAGGATTTATAAGGGTTGAAGGTGAATTCAGCGGCCTCAGTCTAACAAACTTATTCAGGTTAAGGCAAATAAAAAATATCAAAATTGAAAGAGCGAACAAAACTTACAAAATATATATTACTCTTAAGTATACATTTGTTTTTAGATTGCTAATATAATCTGTTATTGACGTCTAAGTGTGAGCGTTACCTCCCAATGCCTCAAAAACAAAACTAATTGATAATACTGGATTAGCCTTACAGACTGTGCATTTTTAAAAACAAATAGTTTCTTCGCAAAATTTTCAAAGCACAATTTCTTTGTTTAAAATTACGAAATAAGGTTATAGCTCTTGTAATGACTGCCTGAACTACAAAAACAACGCGAAGGCTTCAACATTATAAACACTTTCATTTTAAAATAGGAAATTCAAAACTTTGCAAAGACATCACATATTCCCTAAAATGTAATATTTTTATTTTCACATAAGCACAATTATTTACATTATTGCTAAAGAAGCCGAAGACTCTAATAAAAACAACAACAGATAACTGCATAAAGTAGATCAATAACTAGTTGTTTGTTAATTACCAGCTGGTTATTTTAGCTAGGTGCTAACTCAGTTGAGAAACTGTAATTTCCGCTGCTTTGTTAGCCCAGCTGCTAGCGGACAAGCTAACTTCCAGCTGTCATCCAGATCCGTGCTACAGTTAGCTCAAAGTTCACGCTGTAAGCTGCGAGTCTGTGTTTTTAATGCAAATTTAAAACATTCAATCGGTTAATGCGTAATTGCATGAGCTTTGTGCCGCGGAAGGCCAGTATCGCCCAACAAGTCAGTAAACGGATCTTACCGGTTCACTTCCCAAGTTAGCAAATGCACTCAGTTACTAGCCCAGCTCACAGCAGCGCCTCTCACAATCTGATCTTGGCGGTGTCTCGCCTCGGCCTGCTCTGATTGGCCAGCGTGGAGGAGACGAAAGCAAAACAGTACAGAAGTCCGTGCCCACACGCTACATCTCGTGGGATTGGTGGAGAGTAGCCATTGTTAGAGGTGCGTGTGCCGCCATCTGCTGCACAGGAGTGGGACAGTGCTGTTCATTTTCCCGCACTTTGCTTGTCGTGTTTCCTGCTTCAAAACAAACCTTCAAGTGAATGTACTGATCGCTTTAGAGGCAATCACATGTACATTTAGATCAAGTTTCTAGTTAAAACATAAGAGAAGAGGACATTTTTCTTATCTTTGGATAGATAGATAGATAGATAGATAGATAGATAGATAGATAGATAGATAGATAGATAGATAGATAGATAGATAGATAGATAGATGACTTGTGTGTTATATAACTTAAGCATTTCTTGTAATTTTGACAATTATTTGTACATTTACGTCAAAATAATTAGAAATATAAACCCAAAATAATTCAGTCTCTAAAAAATTTGAATATTGGGAAAACATGAAATATTGGAAACATATAATGTGGCACCCTAATCAGCTAATTAACTTATAATTAGCAGGTCTGTAGCAGGTTTTCTGTCTGAATTGCCCTATATGTAACTCGTTCATCTTCTCTGACCAGTTTCTCTGTCCATTCTGAACAAAATATTCTTTCTATACTGTTGAGTAGTGTGTTGCAAGATTTCTAAAGATTTTAGTATTGTTTTATATCCTGACCTTGGTTAAAATTCTCTCAAACTTTATCCCTAGTCTGTCTGCTGTGTTTCTTGGTCTGTTTGTTTGCTGATGTTCTCTGTTCTAATCGTCACAGAACAGCTGGATTTATCCCATGACTAAATTACACATTGGTGGATTTGAACTAAATAGTTGACCTCTCTTGGGAGTTTGTTTGTTTGTTTGTTTGTTTTTTGTAAATGACTTCATTAACAAGTTTTAAAGTAAACAGAGATTTCAGATGATTAAAAACTGAAATCTCACTCTATGAGGATGTGCTACTCTATTAATCTTTCACAGAAATGTGAACAGAAAGTCTGGTTGTAACTCTGAACAAAAACAGAAATCATAAGGTTGTTGATACAACTTACATCTAAACACAGTGTGACCCTTTAGCTTTGTCACAGTCAGTTTTTTTTAAAGCAGTTTTGTTTAATTGTACTTTATTGTCTGCATGCATTTAAATCTATACGATGCATAAAGTTTAACCTGTTTTAACAGGCAGACTGAAAGGTGCAATAAAAAGAACGAAACATATTTCTCTTATTTGCTTATTTGCAAATACAAATTAGATGTCGGAATGACTAAAGTTGTGCGTACATTCAGTCCATTTACCATTTCACCATGTGCAACATTGCTCATTTTATTGCATTATTAGTCAATTTATTAATAGCTACACTTAAGAATCTCAAGAGCCACATGTAGCTCTGGAGCCACAGATTGTGGACCCCTGCTCTAAAGCATGACAGTCATTTAATGCCATTTTAATAAATGTTCTTTACAAGAGCTGCAGAGGAACATGAAACTCAATTTTTGCTATTTCATCCCAAAACAATAGAAGTCACCACCAACTAATACTAGTGAGGTTTGCTCCAAAATAACCTTTTTAAAAATTGATCAAAATCATATTTTCTTTTTATTTCATTTCATTTCATTTTGTTTTGTTTTGTATTATTTTTGTTGTATATTTTAGCAATAACTTAAACAAGTATGAAGTTTGCATTGTTTAGAGCAACTGCTGTGTGGCTTTTGTGTAGTGTTTTTGTTTAATGAAGCGTTTCTGCGGGGGTCTGTGCTTGGACCCTGGGGGGTTGTTGTTTGTGAGTTATGCCAGTAAATTCAGGTTTCATAAGCTCAAAATAAGCAATATCAAAAACAAAAAACAATTCTTTTCATAACGCTGGCTACACAAATATCGTTATCCTCAATTTCACCTAAACAAAACTCAGTCAACATAGCTTATTTTTTACTGACAAAGCCAGCAGAAATTTATATAAAAAGTATAATTAAAGTGTAATTGTAGCTTTCAAAGCCTTTGAAAGCTACAATGCTTGTAAGGGACATGGATACTGTAAACAAAATATCACTACAGTCCATGACTTTGTCTATTTTACACTCCTTTCACTATAAAATGACAGCGATGGCAAAAGGGAAGCTGATGTCCACAGATACAGTATCAGTGACACTGCTGTGTGGTGTTTTCATAACATTTATGGCAGGGTGGATTCATTTTTGCATGAGATAAAACCGAGCGGCGCCTCCTGTCAGCTCAGCTCAAAGTCATATTTTAGGCTGCTTGAAAAATTAGCTGTACTCTGTAACTTTTTTATCCATAATAACATGGACTCATTGGGAGACAAAATTTTAGTCTCCCAATGCCTTCTTCAGGATAAATATTAACTATAAGGAAAAAATATATTAGTGAAACCCACATTTTAAAAAAGGTCATAATATAATATTATGCCACCCATTTTGAAAAAAAAAAAAAAAAACTCAAAACAAGAAAAAAGCTATTTTGTATCTTTTTTTAATTCACAGTGATTATATCAGTTTGACATATTGATTCAAAATAAATTGTAAGCCACGCACTAAAATAAAAGCTTTGGAGGAAACTCATGTTCTTAGCTTTGGTTTCTAGATCTATTTTTGGTTCACATATTTCTGTTTTGTTTCTTTCAAATTATTGAAGTAAAAACTGTGGTTGAGCAGGAATACCGTAATTTTTAGATGATTATGAGTGTTTCTGCAGGAGTGTAGAGTCTGTCCTTGAGGACTCGTCACATGTTAACCAGCCAACCTTGTGCAATAAATGATCAAATTCAGGTACAAACTGTGTTTAGTGTGCATGCTCTTTGTGTTAATGCTTTTGGAAATAATAAAGATGCATTTTTGACAAGGTGAGGCCATGTGTGGTGGTTGATCAATAAAAACAAGAAAACAGAGGGAACATGCATAAAAATACTTTTAAAGAAGGGTTTGTTCCTTGTTCCAATAGTAAGTTTCCACTGATTATAGAGTATAAATTATGCATAAATAATGTTCAACTGACTTTTTTTCTTTGGAATTAGTAGTACTTGCATCTTTTGAGAGCATAATTTAGCATCAGAAAAAAAAAAATCCTCCCACATGTTTTCTGCGTCTCCTTACATGACTTGTGAAAATCCATACGGGACGTTTGATGGGTTTCTTTCAAATTTTGGCTTCCTTCTCGCCACTCTTCCATTTCTGGAGAAAACTATTTCTAGTTGTCATACCATTACATTGTTCCATCTAAGTTGTTGACGCTTTCCATTTTCAGACGATGGATTGAACAGTGATCCATCACATGATCCATCACATGATCCATCTGTCCATAATAGATATGTTCCTGAACAGAAACATATCTAATCATTTTGGGTTTTTTGTCCTTGATGTACTGGTTGAAAAATGACATCCTCTGTCTCGTCTGACTTTAAAAGCATAGCATTTAAAAGTTCTCTAGTCTTCTATGGCTTTAAGATGGTGGGGCTTTGCATGTCTGTTTGTAGTCTAGCTGGCTTTGTAGAGAAACAAAGCCTAGTATTCTCAGCAATACACCGGAATGTCATTCCATGATGTGGTCTGATAATTTTCCTAAGCAAAAGCATTTATGTGTGTCTGTTTTATCCTAATTGTGTATGTGTGCGTGTGTGTGTGCGTAGCATAATTGGCTCAAACTTTGAACCCTTAGTTTGTGAAGGTTTATTATTAACACGAACAAACTGGAATCTGTGAGACAAATGTGATCTAAATAAGACTAGTGTATTTCCTTGATCCCCCTTTCCTTCTAGGACAGTGGTGTCCAAAGTCCTAGTTTAACGAACCTGGATCCAATGATGGCTCCTTAGATGCCCTAAGAAGAACATTGACATGCTGAAAAGGTCAAAACGTGGAGGATGCCAGCCCTTGAGGACTGACTTTGGACACCCCTGTTCGAGGAGAAAACTGTGATCAGCTGTTTTGTACACAGAATTGAGGTTTTACAGAACAAGTACAAAGGCAAGTCTTTTGAGGCCAGGAAAGCATCAATAGTGACTTTCATCTATGACTTTCATCAGGGTTGTTTCAGTCACTGAAACCTTGATGAAAGGAGTCAAATAACTCAATACTGTGTAAATGCTCACACGATAGCTATGTGTTTTATCAAGGTGTTTTGATCTAGTGTGGATATTTTAAATTAATGGCTTAATCATGACATCAACAGACCCATTTAATAAGGGTAGGTTAGTAATGCATAACACCCAACAGTGTCCCAACAGTGCTAACAACTGTTCCAGCATGCAGCTCACTCATACATGCCAGTATGATTGTATATGAGTGGATCAACTGGGGTCATCATAACGAATAAGATTAGTTGTACAAATACAGTCCTTATCCATTATCCATTCCTTTAAAGAGGCTATATGCAGAGAAAGAGTTAAACTGTCAAACTGGGTACATCTGAATTTACACAGACATACTTAAATAATTTTTAATAAAAACAACCACTGCCCTATGATGGACTGTGTCCCTGAACCCCACCTCTCCCCAATGACTGCTGCAGATAGGCATTAGTCCCCCATGACCCTGCAAAGATAAGCGGGTGGAAGGGTGTCAGGGTAAGCTTGTTTCTTTATGTAAGTTGTGTTTTACACTACAGTAAATAATGAATTAGAAATATTAGAATATTTTTGTTAATTGTCACGCAAGCTGCTTTATTTTTCCTTTCAGTTTAGATCTGAAAGGATCCTCAATTGGTCCCCGAAATAAAGAAACTTACACAAGAACATATGCTGCAAACCTCTGCTTTCTGCTCAGCTACTTCCTTCGCGCATGCGCACATGGAGCAACAGACGGGCTACTAAACTGGTCAAACAGCGGGTGTAAAAATGGTAGGTAACCAAAATAAACACAAACCCAGGCACTGGCTTTTGTGCCATGAAGGCTTATCTATCAAGACTGATGGAATAATGTCGAAGCGCATTATGTGTCGCGTTTTGTGAGCCTCACAGTGCTCAGTTAATTGTTTTCGCTGCTGTTTCAGGGAAGGTCAGTTGATATTTTGAGAGCAGCTAGCAGCATTAGCCACACGTCCCTTTTTGGCAGTCTGGTAACTTCGGCTGTAAGCAGGTCAACCGCTGGACCTCAAACACGGACGGGGTCGTTTCACTAAAATCTCTGCCTGTTCATAACAGCACTGACACTTTTGTGCGGAGGATATATCCTCATGATTGCTGTCAATACATTCTGGCTAACTCAGCTAGCGTTAGCCAGTGCAAGTTACTAGCTGGGATGTAGACAAAGCTAACCCAAATGTTTCCCAACGATGACCAGGTTCGTCTCTAAAGGCAAACGAACATTCATCTCAATCCACGCGTGATTAATGACAGAAATCAGTTAAAATGTCAGGCGGGTCAATAGCAGCTCGTTGAACTCAACCTTTAGTATTCGCTTCCAGGAAATACTGCTCTGCAGAGAAGTGTCCAGATGATGCAGCTGGTCGACATCTTTCCCTTCAGTTTGACCACTTTGCTTAGTTTGCTTTATGATGTAAAGTTAGAAATATTAGAAGGGAGGGAAAATGCATAGTACAATTTTATGCACCCTGCGGATATTTCTACAAATGCATAGTTGTGTTCAGCCCTTGGGTTCAAAGCCCAGACGCATTTGCTTATCTGTCATCTGAAATGAAAACATAAGAGATAATCTGCACATCCAAGCTCCCAAACTAAGTTTGATAAATTTCCTAAATGAGCAGTAGCACTATAGCTGATTTAATCTACAATTCAGTTCATTGGAAACCATGAACTGGGACTGTTGTTACCATATTGTAACCTTATGTAAAAACAAACAAACAAAAAAACAAGGTATCAGCCTAAAGATTTTTTTTTTTTTTTTTTTACCAAAAATGGGCTAACGGCTTGTATCTAAAGCAGCTTTCCAGCTAATAGCTTTCAAACTGTGTGTTTTATAAGAGTGACAGCCAATTTGGGTTTTTCTGCATGAGAAAAATGTAGTTGTCTTTTCTTCCGCCAGCTGTCAAACATTGCACAGCAACAGGTGGACAAAAGGCAATGCTTTTTACTGTATACTATAGTCCATACAGCTGAAGAACATTGGTGTCTAACCGGTCTTTTCTCCAGCACCTTAATATCCCAGTAGAAGGACTTTAAACCGGCTACGGTATGCTAAAAGTTTTCACTTGGTTTTGAACCATAGAGTTTGGAAACAAGATAGTCATGTGCAGCTTTGCTTAAGTTATTATGAAAGCTTCTGGGCCTCATAGATGCCTATGAACTAACATTGTATCACTTTTATGTTTCAGTATTCTTTACTCATATGATTGGTTGGAGCTGACCGAAAGTTAAAGTCTCTCCTGCAATCTGCGCTCCCTGCCTGTTTTGATTTAATTATTTATTTTTATATTTCTCAGTATTTTCGGCACAGCGCTTGCGTTACACTCCAGACTTGTTGCACCTCTGGCTCCTCGCGATGGCATCTTATTTCCATCCTCATGTTACGTCTGTGACTGTAGTTATCTGCGGGGCCCTCAGGGGTACAGCATGTGCTCTGAGTGTCCACAACATCCCTCTTCAGAAGAGCCCGTGTTGCTCTCACACAGCGTATAATTGCCATCCTGTTAAACGCCTGTTTGTCGGGGTTACTGTATAGGTTTCTGAGCGATTTCTTGCCTCCTGGATGTGTTTTAATGTTTGCGTCTCGCTGTTTGTTTTCATTCTTGTGTCTCTCTGTGTCTGTGCGCTGGTTTTTGCTTTGCCCGGTCTGATGCCGCTTGTCTCTGACCACCCCTGTCCCGTGTGTGCGCAGCATAAGCTGAAGTCTTCACAGAGGGACAAGGTACGGCAGTTCATGTCCTTCACACAGGCTGGGGAGAAGACGGCCGTGTACTGCCTCACGCAAAATGACTGGAAACTAGAAGTTGCGACGGACAACTATTTTCAGAATCCAGAGCTTTACTGTAAGGAATCCATGAAAACCTCGGTGGACCGGAAAAAGCTGGAACAGCTCTACAATCGTTACAAAGGTAAGGCTCGATAACTCGCATCCTGCTCTGCATGCTGTTACCGCAGTTCTTTAAAAGTATTTATACCCATTAAACTTTTCTGTTATAACCACAAACAGTCAGCGTATGTTATTATGTGATGGACCAACACAAAGGAGGGAATAATTATGTAGTAGAGAAAAAAAAGCAGTAGATGTTCAGTGAATTGTGGTTTGTATTTGCAATCAACTTTCATTACTGTTTTTACCGTCAGAGGTCATTTATTATAACCTCGGTGTCGCTCCAGCTGTTCTGTGAAGACTTTAGAGGTTTGTTCGAGAAAATTAGTTTACAAACAGCTTAATGAAGACCCAGGAACACAGCAGGCGGGTCACAGATAGCGTTTAGGAGAAGTTTAAAGTAGGCGTTGGTTGTAAATGTCAAGCTACCGAGGCATGTCCTCTTGGTAGGACGGCAACTTGCCGTTAATGACAGAAAAATCCAAGATTCCTACGTTGACTCTGGATGAGCTGCAGGTATCCACGGCTCAGGTGGGAGAACCCGAACAAATATTAGTCGCGTACTCCATGAATCTGGCCTCTATTGAAGAGTGGTCCTCAGAAGGTTACAAGAAGACCCCTCTACCATAAGCCACTTGTTTAATATTGGAATGAAGAAAAGTTTATTTTTCCATCACCATAATGTCCCACCCCCTTCTATCTGAGCTTTCAGATTTGGGGTATGCTAATCTATATCCGTTGTAGGCATAAAAGACAAGTCCATCCTACTGGCCAAGTGTATTATTGGAAAGCAAAGTTGCAATTTGATATGTTGTGCAGCTCTGTTATAGGTCAAAGCATATTCATGTGTTAGAATGACCCAGTCAAAGTCCAAACCAGCTGCAAGAATCGAGCATTGACGTGGTTATCCTGCAGTCTGACTAAGCCTACTGAGTGATTTTACAAAAATGTCTTATTCCTAGTTGCGTAAATTGGAATCATTTAGCTGTTATTGCAGCTAAAGGCGTTTTGGGGCTGAACGCAAATTCCAGCCAAACTTCGGATTTCTATTTGTTGAAAAGTTTCCACATCGTCTATGTCTCACGTCCCACTGCGTATTGATGTCGCTACGTTGTGTTGGTCGGAGGTGTCGGCTGTGCCGCAACAAAGCAAAGCTTTTTGCAAATCTCTGCATCGCTATCTCATGTTGATGTAGAAAGCTTCACATAGTTGTGCTTTTGTTTTCTCCAAAACGGAGAAAAGTAACCCGACTCTTTGTTCTCGGTAGATCCCCAGGATGAAAATAAGATCGGCATTGACGGGATCCAGCAGTTTTGTGACGACCTCTCGTTGGACCCGGCCAGCATCACCGTGCTGGTCGTTGCGTGGAAGTTTCACGCCGCCACTCAGTGCGAATTCACCAAGAAGGAGTTCATGGATGGAATGACGGAACTGGGGTGAGTGTTTTTTGTTGTTGTTTTTTTATCAGCAGCCTGCTTTGTGCACTCCTAGTTTCATCTCCTGGTGGTTCTCCTGCTGTAGCTCCAAGGGAGGGAAGGCCGGCTAAATATAGATCCTCCCACGGCCCGGGTATTCTGTGTCTTCGTGTGATAATGAGAAAGTTGCAATGTTTTGACTTTTAAGGCTCGTGTCTCCGAGTCTGTCGGCCAGTTCGTCTTCAGCATCCAGGCAGTCCTGTCAAGGCTGGCTGGGTTATGCCAGCCTATCATTATTTTTTGACATAACTGCACTGTTTTTTGTTTTTTTTTTTGTTTTTGTTTTAGGTGCGACAGTCCAGAAAAACTGAAAGCCCTTTTGCCAAGATTAGAGCAGGAGCTAAAAGACAGCGGGAAGTTCAAAGACTTCTACCAGTTCACTTTTAACTTTGCCAAAAATCCTGGACAGAAAGGTCTCGGTAGGTTTAATGGCACGGATGTCAGCTGAGATGAGGTCTCGTTTTGAGCAGATTAAAAATCTGAGCCGTTCCTCTTGTTGCAGATTTGGAGATGGCCGTAGCCTACTGGAACCTGGTTCTGTCAGGACGATTTAAGTTCCTTGATCTTTGGAATAGATTTCTTTTGGTGAGTGAAAATGGTGCCAGTAATTCATATCCCATCATTCATGCCCTACAATAACCCGATTTGAAAGCCTGTGCAGTCTCTAGCATTTGTGCATTACATTACTGAACTGAAATTACTTAATGGGTTGAGTTCAGCTTTAATTTGAAAGTTAAGAAACTGGACACAATCCGTCATTAGAGGGTCAATCTGTGGGGTTGTGGTTCAGTCCAGACATCTTAAGCAAGGGGTGTCCAAACGTTTTGTCACATGGGCCAAAATCATAAGCTCAAAAGTGCTTGCATGCTAAAAAAAAAAAAAAGACATTCTTAAAACCTAAAATCACCAGAAATGTTCTCATTTTTAGTCTTTTTATATACTCAACAATAAACTAAGAATGGCCCATTTTAATTAAAAGTAATAAACTAATCAGATTTTTTTTGTGTGAATTGGATTGTGGGTCCAAAACGTCATTTTGAGCTCAAATGAAGAAAACCGAAAAAGACATTTAGTCTAATCTCAGCAATAAAACCAGGATCTTGGTCAGTGTTCATTTGAAAACACCTGCTGAATTTAGCCAAGTTTTAATAAAGCAATTAAAAGCTGATTTGGATGCACACAGGTGTACTTTAGAGTATAATTTAGTGAGAAGATGTGGTCCTGTTTACCATGAAAATAGAAGGAAACCAGAAAGTTTGGTAAACATGATCACTTTACGTTGTATCTAACATTTTTAAAGTAGATTTTAATTGAAAAGTTGTAGTTTTGTCCTCATGTATTTCATTTTTGTAGTCAGGGACCTGCTTAAAATGCTTGGACCCTACTATGAACACCTGTGTTCTACACAGGGGTGTAAAAGCCAACATTATAACAGCTGCTGAGGAATCTCACCTGCTTTTTTTTTTTTTTTTTTACTGTGAAAATTAGAGCTGCCAGATACATTGAGCCAAAATTATTGTCTATCAGTAAATCAAACCTACAAATGGTTGTTTGGATGTAGCATCCAATAGGATATAATCTTTAAAATACCATACATTCACACTATGCATGGCTATAATACACAGTGACTCTCAGACCTGTTAAAGATAACGCGTAATACATATTTTTGAAGCTTATTCTATAAGTAATAAGCACACTTCAGCTGAAATACATATTTGAAGGAAACAAAATAAAACTTGTGCATTAACCCAGTGCTAGTAGTGTGCACATTTCAAGTATGCAGCATCTTATGACAATATCGTTTGTCCAGAGTAGGCGAGCCTGCAATCTTCTTCCCATTAAGTATTTGTTTATTCCAACAACTTCATGGGAAAGCGTTTTAGAAGAAAAGGAAGTGGCAATGTGGTGAAGCAAACCCAGATGCAGATAATCGGTCGTCTATCCAGCTACTGGAAAAACTCCATCTTAAGAAGGTTTACTGAAAGCATTGTAGCCAACTTATAACCTTATTACTGCTTTACCTGCCAACACCAAGTGTACTGCAGACAAAGAGAGCCAGGATACACCTTACTTAAATAACATTTGTTGTAGTCCAGGCAGTTCATCGGAGAATATATAACTCCGACTACTGCAGTCTTCACCTCATCAGGACTTTCGTTCTCCTCGGCAGTAGGTGAATTTGTGCCGGAAACCTTTGGATCTCAGCGAGCACATGTAAAAAAAAAAAAAAAAGAAAAGAAAAAAGGAACAGATGAAATATGGATAATATTTCATAAATCTGTTTTTGTTTGTTTTTTTGTTCAAAACCTTTCATGTAGAGATTTAACTTTCATCGTTTTTGACACGTTTAGGGTTTAAACTTTATGAAGATTTTAAATAATTTCAGTATCTTTATTTTTTTGTCGAAAATTTCTCAAAACATTAAGCTAAGGCTGATGAGGAGAAGAGCAACTTAAAATTCCTGGAGAACCATTGTGTTTAGGTATTTGAGAAGGATTGAAAAGCCCCATAATTAACTGTAGGCTGGTAGACATGAGCGCCTTTACTTAGTGGGAAAAGTTCAGAGAAAAATGCAGGATGCCAGACGGACGCTGTACTAATGTGCTGTTACACAGGAAGTTATTACCTTACATGGTGTCCTGACAGCCCCGCTGGTCATATATATATATATATATATATATATATATATATATATATATATATATATAAAGTTATATGTTTATTTAAAGCAATGCTAACTAAAAATCTAGAAATCTGACATGTTAACTCAAGAAGATCTTTAATCTGAACTTTGGAATCAGTTGGTGATTGCTAATATTGAAACTTATAACAGAAACGAAAAGTGAAACCAATATATTATTATTATTTATGCATAGCATTATACAAAGTTAAAGTGCTACACAAAAGCACCAGACGCTGGAAAAAGTTCTAATTTTGCTTTAAATGTCCCACTTTTGGAACCAGAGAGATAAACCGGGTGGACTGGAATAAAACATTTGTTGGATTTAATTCGACAAGTTGGTCCTTCAGTATTATGCTGCTTCCAAGAAGTGTGCTCTGTTGTGATATGACGATGTATTTGTTTTAAAGACGAGGGGAAAACGAGGTGTTTTCATCAGCTCTTGTCCGTTACAGGAACATCATAAACGATCCATCCCAAAGGACACGTGGAACTTATTGTTGGACTTTGGTAACATGATTGCAGATGACATGTCTAACTATGACGAGGAAGGTGAGTCTGCAGTAACAAAATACACACAAAGCGTCTCTTTGTCTCTGCTCCATCACGAGTTAACCAGCGGTGTATCTCTGCTCTCTCCGAAGGTGCGTGGCCCGTCCTTATAGATGATTTTGTGGAATTCGCTCGACCAATTGTTACAGGATCCAAACGTAAAACTCTCTAAATCCGATCCCGACTCTGGAAAGCCAGAACATTGTTTCTTTCACAGCGACATCATTGTTTTTTTTAAGACTCTGTACAAAAAAAAAGTGGAAAAAAAAACCCTGTAGACTTCAGAAGAGAAAACAGAAGCACTTGAAACCGTCTTTCAGGGAGCCGAGTTGAGAAACAAACTGGCCACATTTTCGGTCTCCTTGAGACGGAGGCGCCGTACGGACATCGCCAGTGTCTCAGCGTCCCGGAGGGCCCCCTGCGCTCTGCTCCGGGAGGAGCGCCACAGCCTCACCACTGGGCCGACGAGGACACGGCACCGACACGAGGTTCACCCGCCATGCGTTCTTTAAACGGACAGGACAGAAGAGAGCTGTGTGTTTTAAGATTCTTCCAGGTCATCTTTGTTTTGGTATATGAAGCTCTGCGTGACTGTGCAAACATCCCATGTCTTAACTCCAGCTTTGGGACAGAGTGCTCGCGACACCAGCACCAACAGAACTGTTGCAGTTTTTAACTGTACATACTGTATCTAATGGGACAGATGACAAAGAGAGCTATAAGAAGAATAATATAATTATGTTCAATTTATAAAATGCAAAAAGATGATTGTTTTATGTACAGTAAAATGCTCAGATCTCTAAACGGTGATGCCTCAATATTATGGATAATAATGCTGTTGGTTTAGTTGTTCGGTGGACGTCCAGTCATGGAGTTGTGAGCTCATTGAAAGCATGTTCTAAAATCATTTTACGTCACCTCGGGCTGGTTTCAGAAATAAAGTTTCACTAAAGTAAAGGCAGTGCTTTGATTTAGATAACTGATACTCGCTCATTTGTCTGGATAATTTCGGTCCTGAGTGGTTGTACGTAGGCATGGGCCGGCTGTCGAGGCGTAACGAAGGTTCTGAAACGTTTCGGGTTCAAAACTTTGTCTGGAATTTATTTATTATTATTATTTAAAGACATTTGAGGTGCCAGAAAAAGTGCCCAAGTGAGGAGTTCTCTCCAGGTGTGTTCAACACAGATTAATGCAGACCGGCCCCTCTCCCACCTGTTGCTGAACACTACTTAGCAACTGGCTAAAAAAGAAAAACAAATCTGCTCCTTATTTCTAATGCTAAAGACAAATTCTACTGTTTTGAAGTATTTGTACAAATATATATATATATATATATATATATATATATATATATATACAGCTCTCATATTGCAGTGCAGCCCCTCCCCCACCTTTTTCTGGGCAAATTGTGTGTCATCTTGCTGCTAAAAAAAAAGGCTGCTGCATTTTTCTCATGCTTTACAAAAAGCATGATTTGACCATCTGCAAATATTTCTGGTCTTGAAAAATGTAGAGTAATGCAGTCGTTGGCCATGCTCGTCACTCCACAATGTTACTGCACACTGCTGGGTAGATGGGTGAAAAAAAATTTTTTTTTTTTTTTTTTTTTTATCTTACAGAAAAATACTAATTTGTATGGCAAAAGTTTGGGTTGCAAAAAACATTTGGTGTAAAGTAAAGCCGCCTTGTCCCTCCCAAGTCTGTTACTGAGCACTGCTGGTCAGTCGGCTAAAAAAATTAAACTACATTTTATTCATGCTGACATAAAAATGTTTTAAAAATACAACTGGCAAACATTGCAGGGATTGTTTGGAATAAAAGCAAGTTAAACCATTTCAAAATTTTAGTTTTAAATTTGTGCTAACACCGTTACGACTTCACTCAATAAAAATACACTGCTCAAAAAAAATAAAGGGAACACTCAAATAACACATCCTAGATCTGAATGAATGAAATATTCTCATTGAATACTTTGTTCTGTACAAAGTTGAATGTGCTGACAACAAAATCACACAAAAATCATCAATGGAAATCAAATTTATTAACCAATGGAGGCCTGGATTTGGAGCCACACACAAAATTAAAGTGAAATGTTCCCTTTATTTTTTTGAGCAGTATATAATACTGTGAGAATCCCACACTGGCCCATGCCTAGTTGTAAATATAATGTAGTCGAATTTTCCCACTGTTTCTTTGAGAAAAACTGAAATCAGTCTAGAAAAGAAATCTTTCTTTATGATTATTTTTAACAGACGACCCCCCTCGGCAGTATTTGTGTCACTCTAAAACCTAATTTTCAAACTTTACAGTTAAGAAACACTCAACCTGTAGGATTGCATGGCATAAATCTGTGTGTTTTGGCAGCGAGAAGTTGTTTTTTTTTTTCTTCAGAAGTTGAGAAAGCGACGACAGGACAACAGAGTAAGCCTTAAGAGTAAATGCCTGTCTGATATTTCTGTACCTGTCCCACCCAATCTGTTTCAGTGTTACTGCAGGTAGTGAACATCAGACTGTGTTGTCGATGCATCGTTTTTGTAGCCTAAGTATATCGCTCATCTGAGAGAGAAGTATAAAGCATGAGTTTTTCCATAATCCTAGATGTATTTAGCTTATTTGTTTGAGGAGACTGATCATGGAAATGTCCCAGAATACAGCTGTGCAGCAAAGTATAAAGCAGAAATATGGTGATGCAGTTGTGAAAAGTATTTAATTTTTTAAAAATTATTATTAGTATTATTATTATTATTATTATTATTATTAT